ACCGGAGGTGACTTTAGGTTTACCCTCTGTCCGTCCGTCCGTCCACAAAACTGGATCCTGCGATAACGCAAAAAATACTAAAAATATTTTAATGAAACTTGATATATGGATAGATGGCAGTATGGAGATTATGCACGTCTTTTTCTTTTGTTCCTATGTTGAAAATTCTGGTTGCTATGGCAACAAATAGCCTGAATTTCAAGATTTCTGATTTAAATTTTTCAGCTTTTTCACTATAAGTTTTTTTATTTCTTAAGGCGTTTACTTCAAACTTTAAATATAAGTTTCTGGTCATCAACCACATCATATGTGACAAGGTTTACAACTCTAGCACAAAAATTATCAGTATTACCTCCCTTGAACTTAGAATTTTTATGAAAAAAATGTTGTCTTTTAAATAACTTCTTTATTTCCTAATGTATCTACTTCAAACTTCATATATATGTTTCTTATTATCACTCAACATTGTTGAGAAGGTTAAATACTCTAGCAAGACTATTTCCAGAATTATGTCCCCCTTGAACTTAGATTTTTTTCGAGAAATTGATATTTTTTACTCCAACTTCTTCATTCCTTATAGGATTTACTTTAAAATCCCACATCGTAATAATATGACAAGGTTGTATAAACATAATTTCCTTACTAACACATTATTGTGATATAGACAAACTTAGAACTCAAAAGATTTAAGTTCGTTCATGTCATTCATTCACTGGTAAAATTGAATTGCCAATGGCCCATCGGAATGTTGCTGGGGTTCTAACCGGTAGGGGACTTATGGATTGCTTGCAATACTATGATAATTGCTTGTTATTTCAGGAACTAGTTATGCATTTGGAATAATTTTTGTATATATTGCTTAGTGTATGCACACAAGATATGGTTAAAAGTTTAAAGATTCTTAATTTATTTTCATAAAAAGTATGTTTGCGAAAAAAGTGGTGTTATGTCTTCTGCAAAGTTAGTTTTCTTAACCATTATGTTAACCTTTATCTTTCAGGGTTGAGGTGGATTGCAGGAGTATAGCCTGGCCAACTTGGGCTAGAGACTTCAGAGAACTAAGAGTTAAAAAATTTCACCCAAAAGGCATGCATGCCACCAACTGACATTTTAAAGGATTTTATCAACCGACCGTCACAGACATTTTCGAAGGATCTAAGATGTTCTCAAGAAACATTAAGGTAAATTCATACTGATCTTAGCACCTTATGAATTTCATTGACAATCGATGAAGCCCGACCTTTCAGTGACTTTTCAATAGCTGACTGGTATATCATGGTCCAATCTCTAAATTTACCTGTATTGCCTTTTCGAGATATTGTCTTTTGACCTAAGATTATGCTGTTTATGTTCTTCCATATTTGGGATTGCTGTTTGCTCCATCATAGGTAGACCGCATTTGATTAAAGAAATTTCAATTAGAAATTATTAATCCAGGCGTAATGTAAACAGAACATTTTTGTAAACTACCTTATTGCACAATTAAAAAATCCAGTGATACATACATGTATGAAATAAAAGTAATGCTTTGTTTGAACTTTTGCTCCCAGACACCACTGAAAGTTCCCGGGTTTTGAACCACTCATCAATTTCACGAAGCTTTTTAAGTCTTTCATCATCCATGGAACGCACAGGTTTGAACTTTCTGAAGACTTCTTTCAATTTTGGAGTTTTTTTTAAGTAGTTTGATTGCTCCATCAAGATAACTTCCTTTAGAGCAACTTCCTTTAGAGCCGAGATACAGTTTGTTTTGTTTAATTACATGCAGCATATCAATGTTTAATACCTCCTCAGCCAAATGATTCCTCATTTTGAACTAAGTTAATAGAAATAAGTTTTCAGTGCAATTGTAAAGCATTTGACCTGTCCATTGAAAGCAGTCAATGAAAATTCGCCACCGAGCAGTAGGTTAGTGTAAGTAGACATATAGATGAACTGAGGATACCGAATTTTGACTGGAATATGTAATATAATTTGAAACATTGTATTTTAAAAATGATCTATCACACTGAGCTCCAACCATACTAGTATGTAATTTCTTGAAGCCAAATGTTTGAAGTTTATCAACTGTTTCCCACAATAGATAATACAGTTCTGGAGCTTGAATCTCATCTGTATTTAAAAAGGCAAATGGGAATCTAAAATTTGTTATGCCTGAAAAAAAAAACAAGTTGGAGAGTAAGTGTACCTAAAATGTCTTCTTGCCGGTTATTACTATATGACAAGTATTACCTTCAGAGCCAATTTCCATAAGCCAAGAAAGTTCCACAACATCACCTTTTTTGTTTATTTGAAAATCTGTCTGAATTGACAATTCGTCCAGTGGACATTTCGTCCAATGTAATACCTCCTTATCAGCCCTCAATTGGTAGTGCTCTGCGTTTAGCCTCAAGGTGCATCCACTTGAAAATATCATTGTCAGAACCAGTGACACATCAGTGATCCCATTTGATACTGATATAAGTGAACTAATAAATGAAATAGATTAATTGAATGCTGTCAATAATCTTCCACAAGACCTAAACTTGTACCAAATAATCCAAGATATGAAACAGATGAAGTTCTCAACTCCTTTCAAGATAAAGTGAACACTATTATTATCTCTTTTAAACAAACATAAATACAAGGATTCCTGCTGCAGCGAATATAATTATTTGAAAAATCTTAATGAAAAAATTATTTTTACTGATCCAGGTAAGTGTGCAGATTTGGGTGACTTTTACACTTCAGTTCATAAACATCACACAAGTGCTGAATTTCTATTGAGCTGTATGCAGTTATTTGAAAACGAAAGTGTCGTGGGTGAACACAGGCATTTATATATATTTTTTACATCAGTAAAATCAGAAAGTTCATTTTGAAGCAGTCTTCTGAAAACTAGCCTTCACAACTAAAACAGGTAGTACAAAGGACAGTAGATGTTTAGCAAAAAAAAGATTTAAGTACATAAGAAAAAAATCTGTAAGGTTTATTTAAAACGTGAAGATCAGCGCTTTATGAAAAGTGTTTGATTTCTACCGAAGATTTTTGATTTCTACCGAAATATTAAACCAGATGCAAGTGAATGAACAGTACATACTGGCAAATAGCAGTCAGAATCACTGTATGATATTACTAGGAAATAGAATGTCAAAAGAGGTTTAACAAATATTTCTGATGAACTGTTTAAATTCTTTGTTTGTCTCAAAAATGTTTTATCAATTATGACCACTGAAAAACTGAAAATGATAAATAATGAGTTACTGCAATCTTTTTAAACTGTAAGTCTGAATCACTCCAGTTTAGACAATATATCAAGTACTCATTTCAAAGTGTCGTATAATGTTATTAGGACAAAAGATTTTGAAAAGATTGTAATATCCTTATTCTTATACAGTGCCGCTTAATATGACGCACAGTCTACTAGCTTCCGTTTTCCATGCACTAGCAATGAGCGAAACGGGAAACCATGCACCTAGTCGCGGACGAACACTTCCGGGTAAAAAGGGTCGTCTAGTTGCAGCATCTTTTTTGAAATACAGGCCCATTAGACCGAGTTAGTTTCAATTGTCGACCATAAGACAATTAAGTAGTAAGTAGAATCCAGTTGTTTGCATGTGCGTTAGATCCTGTTGGTTTCTTTTTTATATGGATATTTTGCTGCATAAATAACAAGGTTAAACACATTTTAGGTCAAATCGATGCCACTAGCACCTTTGTAAATGATAAATAGTGGCATAAACACTGGATATGCAGTCATATAATATGACCGTATCTCTCGAACGCACAATTTTAAGGAAATGCACCACTAAATTTCGACATCACTATTGAGGATATACACTCACAAAATATTAACCATATGAGTATCTTGAACCACGTTTATCTAGAATTTTAGCCAATAATTATTAATATTTTGTCCTCATTGCGTATATTTGGACCACATTTCATAGTATCTGAACCACATTTCTCAGTATTATAATCATATAAAGTACTATTTGAACCATATTTTTCAGTATTTGAACCATATTTCTTGGTATTGGAACCGCATTTCCAAGTATTTGAACCACACTCAAGAATCAAACTAATCTCCACTATCTGAGCCAGACCCCAATTTTTTAGTTTTAGAACTGCACACTCGATAATTTGAATCTCACTTAGAGTGTTTGATCTACTTTCTTGTACTTAGCCAAATATTTGAGTATTTTAGCCACTTTATACACTTTTTACAGTATTCAGCCATCTGCTATAGTCAAAATGGTTGAATATCAAGATTTGAAAAACATATCATACATATTCAATGTCTGCTTCTATATACAATGTGCCCGTTATAAGAGCCGTGCAAATTTATGTGTTCCCATGAAATTGTAAGAATTGATTAAATTTCTAATTTGCGACACCAAAAATGATCATTATGCTAGAAAATAGAAATTATCAAGAACCATGTTGAAAAACCCTTTGCAAACATTTTGAAATGTTTCCTTAATTTGTAGTTAATTTTATTTTTAAAGAATATTTATTGCAGGAATGGAAGATGTCTTAAAACATGACGGTAGATGTTTTTTTTTTCTAAATATCAAAGTATGTAGAATATACCCCCCCCCCCACATAAATTATTGTAGAAATAAAGAACGAACGAAAGAAAGAAACAAAGAAGGAAGAAAGAAACTTTTAGAAAAAAAAGAAAGTAAGAAAGAAAATGAAAAATCACCACAGTGAGAAATTGAAACATAAGCACTTTTTTTGTTCTGACCAATGACTGCGACATGTTCATTTTGCCCGCATCGGGCTTTCTGTAGGGATTCCTTATATTTCCGCTGTATTTCTTCTATGTACAATCTTACAAAAGTATTAAAATAGAGATAAAAAGAATAAGAAAAGTTCAAAACGACAGAAGCTACCATTCATGTCCCAAAGCACCAGCTTAAGCAGAATTCAATTACGCTCGTAATTGTATACGGTTATTTGCTCTCAGTATCTCTCTTTGATAAAAAATAACTCAGGAATGTATGAGTTTATACGTATTTATTGTGCATATAATTATAACTGGAAGGAAACAAAAACAAAATAAAAATTTAAATAAAGTAATTTAACTAGATATGACATTGCTAGGTCATTGGTTTAACAATATATAAAGCTTTGCATTATGAAATCTAGATAAATTTAATCTAAAAAGAAATGAATATCTTGTGGAAATTTATTTTCTATTAAGCGAGCTCAAGTATTATTGACAGGTGTTAAACGTATAAAGTATGATCGATATAGTATAAGAATTAACTAAATACATGTATAGTTATATGAAATAGTTATATATGAAATGATTTTAAAAAAAAGATTTTACAATATTTTGGTGCATTCTCGAAAGAGTTGCCAGGTAGGATGTCTCTTTTAATTATTGTATGTTAACAAAATAAACTGTTCCAAAACAAATTATTATGTTGCTTTTTTAAATATATATACTTAATATATATATTTAAACGTTTAACAATGATTTCGTGCATGCGCTAATCGCTCTCAAGCTATAGTCTCACTTACATCCCGGCAGAGCCCTGGTAGACGTCCGGGTGATCCGGGAACGATCGGGGGTACGACCGGGAACAACCGGGGTACATCCGTAACTCTGCCGGCAACGTCCTGGATGATCCGGGAACATCCGGCATTCGACCCCGGATGGAATAAAATATTTATCACCGGGGTGGTCCGGGATGATCCGGGAAGGTATAGCTTTGCCGGCTTCATCCTTAGCTCTGCCGGGAACGACCGAGGTTATACCGGGAAAGCACCGTAGCTCTGCCCGCACAAACCGGGGATGATCCGGTGTATGATATAGCCGGTAGAGCTACGGTAGAGTCCCGGTATATGCCGGCAGAGCCCCGGTAACTACAGGCAGAGTCCCGGAGGATAAAGGTAGAGCTACGGTTGATCCCGGTAGAGCCCCGGCAAAGCCCGGATCATTTCAAAAGAATAACGACAATTTGCGATGATTGCACTTGTTTGTATTAAAAGCCTTCCCATTTACCTTCTATCCAGTATGGCATAAGGATTTTTCAGAAAATCATCATGAATTACTATTCTGGAACAATAGATATTATATTTAATAAAAATTAGGTATTTATGTTATCATTTTCGGGCGTTTTCAATCCACCGGGGTTCTACCTGGGCTCTGGCTGGATCGTCCTTGGCTCTGCCGGGGCTCTGCCTGGATCGACCGGGGCTCTGCCTGGGTCAACCGGGGCTCTTCTGGCGTCATCCGGGAACGACCGGGGAAGCACCTGCATGATCCGTAGCTTCACCTGGGCTCTGCCTGGATGATCCAGAGCGCATCCTGGGTTAGTAGGGAACTACCGTAGTGCTGCCGGGGTAAGTGTGACCGCAACAATAATTTCATCCCGGATCATCCCGGTAACTTACCGGGATTGTCCTGGGCTCTGCCGGGAGTAAGTGAGACCGAGGCTTTAGAGAAACATTCAAACATATGTTTTTCATACAGGTATTTTGGAATTATTCCTTGTAAAAAATGAACTTTTTTCTCAATTCCATATAGCAGATTTATAGCATTATACTCTTAAAGCAGCAAGCCTCCAGATTCCTGCTAATGTTCATGAAAATTTTGAAAATGTTTTTAAAAGTAAAATATTGTTAAGCTGACAGAGAAAATAATATGCACATTTCAAACGACACTTACAACCAATGTAAATTACCAAAAAAGAGGTCAAAATATGCAAAATTAACCCTTACTGCGTTAGTAATGCAGTAAATATGGTGAAATTACTGAAAAATTGGCCATCATTCGCAAATAACATGGAAATTTTTACTTTTATCTTTAGTCCTTTTACTTTTCATTAAACCTCAATACATTTTTCTCAATTTTTATGTTCTTGAAATATTTTGGCCCTTCTGGAGGCATGCAGCTTTAAAGCACAAAAGGACAATGTAACGGCATTTAACCTTTAGAGTTAAGGTGCATAAGGACTCGTTTGTTGTCCATAAATTTGCGGAAGACAACAACAAAAGCACCAAAGCTGGAAACCATTCCGGCAGTGAGGACGGTCATCAAAGCTGCAAACGCGGCCGAATTCATACAAGTGTTGTTGTCGTCATCTGGACCTGAATAAACAGAAACATTTTTTTAAAAATGTAAAATCACAAAAAAAAAACTTTTTAAACGTAAGCTTCTTTTTTACATTATTTTGCAATATCTTATTTTAGATACTTCATTGCATACGGCCATATAGGACAATACAGAACATACATCGTAATAAAAGCTTCATATTTGTATACTCTTAAGATAATTGTAATATATTGCTTGTTATCGGCAGGTCTGCTAGATAAGAGACTCATATTTTATACAGCAACAAATCTGCTTTTTTATAATGTGTTCAAGAAGTTTGAATACCTTTACATATCATGAGGGTAAATCCTAATCAATAACAAGAGCGACCAGTGATCACATGTATCGCCTGATATTAGCCAATTAAGCAGTTGTATTGAGGGATGATTGGCCAGTTTTGTTTCCTATATGTTACTGCTACTTTGTGGCATGTAAAGGCTTCTGTAACTCTTTAGCAGTTGAGAAGAGCAAATTTTTAAAACGTTATTTTTTTAAATGGATACGAGGTAACATGTCAAATCTATGTACATGTACTTACTTTCGATAGTGACTTCGTCTGTTGTTATTGAGATAGATGAACCAACACTGATATCTTCCATGTTGTTTTCCTCCGCCTGACGTTTTGCAAGTGCCCTTTTCTTTCTTCCATAACTGACAAAACCGTCACTGCAGGTCGTCTGTAAATCATTACTCAAATTATCAATCGTTCAAATTATAGATGATATCGAAAGCGTGCCGGTTCAATAGTGACATTATTGAACGAGTGGAATATACTGTAACTTAAATTATGCAAGCTTCAGGCAAGCTTAATATTATTTTACTAAAATATTCAATTAGTTATTAAATGAAGCCACACGAAGTAGTTTATTTACTACATATTTAAAAATAAAAATGAATCACTTTTTCATTTATGCGTATATCATATAACGCTTACATTCAGCGCGTCTTTACGACACGTCAAAGTTTATATGTATGACCGTGCAAAGCTTTAACACGTATTATAATAAACAAGATAACAAGGAAAGGCGGTGTTCAACAGTAACGAAGCCGTTAAAACGGCATGGGTATGCGATAAGAAACAAAATCGTATCATAAATAGTCTTTTAAAATTTTTGATAAATACAATGTACAATAACTGTGTAAGCCATCGTGTTTAAGATCTTTGACTACGTTCATTTTATCTACAAAAAATATGTTTGCAGTGCAAATATAAAATTCAGCTAGAATACGATTCATCTGTTATACCAAGCAGATAATTAAACCCATATAAAAAAGAATCATACTTACATAGCTACATGACCCTAGGCAGACTTGAAGGGTACACGAGAAAGGCATAGAGACAGAGCCGCCAGCGAGAGATGTGGTCCTAAAAGCTCCGAACTGGGCTTGTATTAAACCCTGTGATATGCTATTGATGTGTGGGAACAACTCAGTATCCACTGGACACCTGTAATAAAATTTGATGAAATATATAAAACAGAAGAGTAAAATACACCAATTCTCATAATGCAATACCGTTTTTAGCTCGACTATTCGCAGGATAATCGAGCTAATGCAGTCACCCATTTGTCGGCGTCGGCGGCGGCGTCCCTGTGGTTAAGTTTTTGTATGTAAGCTGGTATCTCCATAACTACTGAAGGGAATGGATTGAAACTTCACACACTTGTTCTCTGTGATTATCTAAGATGATTGGCACAAGTCCCATAACTCTGATTTGCCTTTTTTACATAATTATTCCCTTTTTACGACTTAGAAATTCTTGGTTAAGTTTTTGTATGTAAGCTGGTATCTCCATAACTACTGAAGGGAATGGATTGAAACTTCACACACTTGTTCTCTGTGATTATTTAAGATGATTGGCACAAGTCCCATAACTCTGATTTGCTTTTTTAAAATAATTATGCCCCTTTTTCGACTTAGAAATTCTTGGTTAGGTTTTTGCGTGTAAGCTGGTATCTCCATAACTACTGAAGGGAATGGATTGAAACTTCACACACTTGTTCTCTTATATTGTCTTACATGATTGGCACAAGTCCCATAACTCTGATTTGCTTTTTTACATAATTATGCCCCCTTTTCGACTTAGAAATTCTTGGTTAAGTTTTTGCGTGAAAGCTTGCATCTCCATAACTACTGAACTGCAAGGGAATGTATTGAAACTTGAAGGGGTTGTACCTTTTTGGACAATTTTATGTATTCAGAAAGGTAAGCATTATTATACTCAATGAAACACCCTTGTGACAAATTTCCGAATAGTCGAGCGTTACAGTCCTCCGACAGTTCTTGTTAGTAAAGCATTTGGTAACAGTTTCTTGTCATTTTAGAAGTTTGTTGGAACATTTTCCCCGATATGATCCCATATCTTTAAGTTCGAAACTCATTTTAATTTGCAGATTTATTTACACACAACTGGACTGAGAACGTCCCTGGTTAATGAATGATGGGAAAACACGCGATCAAAAACTGACCGGATGTTGACATAGTACAGGTAGCACTACTGTATACCAGCCCTTAAAACATTAATTATATTAGTTCTGGCAAAAGCTATTTCTTTTGCGTAAATAGTTTCTAAGCCGTCCTGTTGTTTTCTTTTAACAAAATAATTCATCGATGGTTTGTTGCAAATTAAGATCAAGTTCTGCTTGTAAATTCATGGGAGTTAAACAAAACAGACAACATACATTGACTACAAAAGTATCGTGTAAACATTTTGTCAAACAATGGAAACATTATGTCAAACAATGGAAATTTTCATATTTAAAACAGGATGAGTCCAGGATTCTTAAAAAGGTAACAACAAATGATGTTGAATTATTAGTACTTACGCATTTGAGATAATTTCAATGTTGTCTGCGAAACATGACTTAGCTTTAATGTCAAAATCCTCTGAAAATACGAAAATACAATTAAAGTTATTTGAGCGAATAACTGATACTTATTACTGTTTGATTATTAAACATTCTTTGGGTTTTTTTTCTCTTTAGTTTTTGTCCATTACTCACCTTCAATAAAAAGATAAGAGGTCACAATTTAAATGGTTACAGGAAGGCTATTAGTTATGAAAGAGGTCCCTATAGTTTATTATAAATCTTTTGTTTAGGTAAAACACAACAGCCAGGTCTAGGGGTGTAACGTTTATCAGGTTAAATGGGTTCGACTGGTTTTTAGCAAGTTTTTTTTTTATAATAAGGTGTTTGTTCAAAAATGTATTTTTTCGGATCTGATCGATTACGGTACGCCCCTAACGGAAAATAGTTACACCATATTCGGATATGTATTTTAATCATTTTGAGTACAACAAAATACAAACAAAATGCCATATCTTGTCATAAAGAAAGAAAGTTAATGTTGAAAATCTATGGATTTTATTGATACGGTCGGTTAAATGTTTTACACGTTTAGCATTTTTTTCAAACTGTGACACCCCTAGCCATGTGAAACTGAAGAGTTTTCTTGTATTTTCCCTCCGTTTCCTTCCGTGTGTACATATCAAACGAAAATATAGCATGAATTTCAAGAATTCAGTACTAAACACATTGAGTCTTTGATTTAATTACAAAGATCTTAAAATTTTCAGATTTATCTACAAGTCGCATGGTTGTGTAAAAACATTATGTAATTGTTTCGTTTTTCTGGTTCACAAATAGCAATAATCTGTAATTATACGTATGATTTTGATAAACAAGATAAATCACAAACACTTGTTTTCTTTTTCCAGACTTATTATGCCGGGAAGCAATACGATAGCTGTGAAATAGATGTTTTTAAATTCTAAACTGCATTTTAGCTGCGCCATGACAAAACCAAAATAATGGGTTTGCGAACAGCATGGATCCAGACCAGCCTGCGCATACACGCAGTCTGATCAGGATCCATGTTGTTCGTTATCAGTTTCTCTACTTGTTATAGGGTCTGTAAGCGAACAGCATGGATCCTGATCAGACTGCGCGGATGCGCAGGCTGGTCTGGCTCAATGCTGGTCGCAAACCCATTATGTTGGTTTTGTCGTGACGCGGTTCTTTTACTGACCGATATATTCGGCATCAAGTTGCATCACCAGGGTGACAATATCGGTAAGTTTTACAGTTCCTCCATTAATGTTTTCACCATTGCTGTACAATGTCATGGTAGCAGTGGGTTTTACCGTCTTATTCAGACCGGCATCATCATCTTTGTCTCTGTTAAATAAACAGTGCAACAATTTAGTTTTCATTACCAAATATCACAATATAATAAACTGGTTTGCCGGCATTATCCTCTAAGCATTGCGCGTTTGCCTTGATTTATGTGCTTAGCATCATAAACTTAAATATAATTAACAAAAACCCCCCATGAAAGGTGGCGTTCAATGAACCCAACTCCCACACGACCCAGCAACAAGGACCAACGACCAAAAGCCTAGGAGGACCCGAAACAAAATCAGGACAGGGCATAAGACAATTCATATATTAATTCATATATGCCCAAAAATACCAAATATTCATGCTATATATTTTGTAGAAATAAATAAGATTTTCAAAAATTATAATTTACGAATTGAACTTTCATTGAACACTTCACAAATACATTGATTATTTGAATATAATTATATTTAGAATTCAAGTTTGAAGATTATGACTTACGCAACATCAAGGCTGTTACTGACGGTCAAGTCACCCAGGTCGGCAATACACATGACTGGAATCTGTTTATCATCTCCAGTCTGGTACAGCGATTTCTTCTGGACTATCACCTTAAAACTTTCCTCCTGTAACTAGACATTTAGAAATATTGATCAACATTTAAAAAGAAGAAATATTACTTTACAAAGCAACGTTAAAAATTGCAGACATAGTTTAACTGAAAAGAGAAATATGAAATCTTGAAAGGATATCAAACTGGTTTTATTCATAATCCACGCCCCGTAGCACCGGGCTAAGCTGTATTCAACATCAAAACATAAAATGGGGAAATTGTAAATTTCTGAGACATCAGCATATGTGTTAATGAGCCTGCTTATGAAAAATAACGGGAATTGCAACATCTCTCATACCACCTAGCACCGGCTTAAGATTTTTTAAGTGTCATTCAAACCGAGTCTGCCATTTTCGTCAATTACGTTTTCATTGCTGTAATGATATTAATACGATAATATTTGTATAATGCTTCTATCATATACCCATTGTATTCCACAAGATCCGAAGTCAATAGTATAATACGAGACACCCGAAGTAGTTAACTGCCGGCAAGCTGCGCCTTGACCTTGGATATAGATTATTCCCCCGTCGGCACCGTCCGTTAACGTCAGTTCTAGCTTACTTCTGGTGCAGCTGGTCACTTCCACTAAAAACAAATTCATATATCTTTATGAACATTTGATTTGTTCTAACATAATACCTCACACGTTAGCCAGCTTATTATTATTTAAAACATATCATTGAAGCATAATTATCATATTTTACATTTTTATTCTTAGTCTATTATAATTTTCTCAACCCTTAACCTGAAATTGGCCAGCAGGCCATTCGAGGTTTACGAGATTCCATAAGCTACCAGCCGTTTAAAGCCTGGTCAGATTGTACGATTGCAGGCTAGACAGGTGCTATACTGGTGAAAAAGTCTACCAGAAACGTATAGTTTAATATATGTTGTCTAGAACATTTTATTTTCACATAAAACGCGGCACGGGAGTGTAATAAACCGATTTATTATATGCTTTTCGGTGGTTTATAGAAATAATCAGTGATATAAAACTGGTAATTTCACTGTTTGAAACAGTGAAATTACCACTTTGATAATTTAACTGTTTTGAATTAAGCCCCTTACGTTGTTTCATTGAAATACCAGCGTGCACAGTACTGGGTACCAACTTAATGACGTGACGTCGCAAATGACGTCACGTTGTATTATTATTTGGCGCGCTTTTCATTAAAACGTTTCTTTGCATGTAATAAAAAGAAAATTTGTTTAGTTTAGCGTAAGATTGAAATATATTTCACCTTGTGAACACCAAAAGTTCATATTTCACTCGTGGCTGCGCCACTCGTGAAATATACATTTTGGTGCTCACTCGGTGAAATATATTCCGATCTTACACTGAACTAAACAAATGTCCTCTATTTAATATAAACGACTAGTGTAATAACACGTAACGTGACGTCATTTGCGCTATATATACACATAGCGTTAAAGCGCGCTAATGTTAGCGTTACACTAGAGGCGCGTCAATGAAAAATGACTCATTTTAACAGTTTACTGTTCTTATTTTATATATGTGATAAATAGAATATTATATTCGTGAAGATTCAATACTAAACTACACTCATTCAATATCCTCTATATAGATGAAATATTGTTTTAATGTATTTCTTTTCACCAGACAGGTCATTATTGGGCTTTTTAGAAGCGGTTATGTTTTTTCTTCAGGTAAAAGTTAGTTATCACAAATACTTATGCCATTTTCATTCCGTAAAGACATAGAATTTTTTTTCTAAATAATGTTTTGATCATGTGTAGAAGTAACTTACATATAGGGTTAAACTGAGCCAAAGCCCCTAAAACCATTAGTGACATCGTTATCAACACTTTGCTAACCATTGTTGCCCGGCAAACTGAAATAAATAAATTAATAAAAGAATTGAATGTTCAAATAAATCATTTCTTTTGTACAGCTATACGGTTATTAATATATGTTCAGAAAGATTCATTTTATAGTTGGTGTACCTCAAGTAAAGAAGTCCTGATAAATTATGGAAAAGAAACAACAACAAAAAACTATTTGACATACTTTCTTTTCTGAAAGTACGGTGTGCTTATCAAAATACTTGTCGTTCAAAAAGTATACAACACCAGGCGAAATTCGTTTCTGTGTTGTATTTTTAAATCGCAGCAAAATTGGTGATAATGTATAAGATTCTTAAAACAATGAAAACAGCGGTCAAGTTTTTTTCACAATGTTCACTTGCCCGGAAAAAAATTAGAACGAATATAACCCAAGCGCCTCTCAAATATTTCTCGACAAACTTCGTTATATCTTAACGAATTCTAATGATTTTAGCATCAAATAAAAGCTTGCGTATTAACCTTGTAAGAGATTTTTAAAATAAAACTATTTTATTTTGAAGTATTAACATTTTTTTTACATGTGCTGTCTTTTTGCTCCTTTGACAAAAAGCCTATATTTTGAAGTTTGGTAAGAAAAACATGGCGTCCTTCCCCATTAAATTATTTTCTTAAGAAGGAACACAATCATGATTGTCGCCATGAAACAAAACACAAGCTTATCTATCTGAATTTCACGTTTACTGACAGACGGTTTTCTTTGACCCATTTTGTAATGGAAACGTCCTGAGACAGACAATCTACATTGTCACTATGAAAGCGTTAAACTATAGTAGATAAAACACGACAGAAGAACAACAACAAAGAAGCATGCCTTTATACTTATACTATAGCTTTTCATATACTAGCTATGCCTTTATATTAGCAGAAATTGAAAAAAAAAACATCAAATCTAAAACACTATTAATGAGCAAAAAAGAGAGACACAAAATAACAATTCATTGTTGTATTTCTTATATAAACCTGGGACAAAAGTTATCTTCTGTCCCAATATAAACATAAATTATAATATCAAAAGTCTTACCTTGTTGTTACGGCTACTAACGTCAAGTCTGACGACGGAAGAAGAGTGGTACCATATCAGGAGTTACACTTGGTATTTATACATGTCGCGGACATATCGCGGACCTACAGTAATTATTGCATATGTCAACGTTTATTGTTTCTCAATAATTTTATTAACGGTATATAAAAATTGCAGATGTTTTTTCCTGGGTTATGTAAATACCATATGTATCAATTACTTATAAATTAGTCTAACCATATCGATGTTTTTATAAGAACTTGTTAAGTATCAATAGGTCTCGTAAATTTTACAAGATATAATGAGAATATTACATATTAGCTTGTAATTATATACATAAGAAAAAAAATGTGTTAGATAAATCAGAATAAAAATCGTCGCATAAAATCAACAAATATATCATTTATTCATATATTTCACATCGGAAGTGTGAAACTTATTAACATGTTTATGTATATGCTAAATAACACCCACGTGTGATAATTATTATTAAAACACGGATATAATATGATATGAATAAAAGACGGACATGCATGTGTGTTTTGTTTTTTCATATCAAGTTAATCTAGGGACATTTTTCAATGTTTCACAAATAGTATAAAAAAATTAACTTTATTGGTTGTTGCTTTTATTTAAATATTTGTGTTTGATCTAAATATAGTAAAATTGGTAATATTTGAAATTTGATTATTTTAAAGTCAAGAAAATTGAATACATATATATGTTTTAAAAGTTCGAACACTTTTAGGATTGAGGTCAGATATACGATCGCAGACTTCTATGTCACTAAGTTAAACAAAGAATGCAAGCTGTATGCTGAGTACATAGTAATTGTTCATATTGTAACATTTGTCTTATTATAATTAAAAAAATATGTATGATTCCTTATTTCCATACCCAACCCTCGGAGGAATATAGGGGACTTTTGGACTTGAATAATCGGATTCCAGGTACTTTACATGGTTCATATGTAAAATATTTAGCAATTTAAGTTTCAAATGAACCGATTGCAGATATTTGACAACTGGATCCCGGATTATATAATGTTAAGCTACTCATTAATATGACACTGCTTCTTGTCAGCTGTTCTTAAATGCTTATTGAAACACACTGTACAATCAAATGGACAGACAGCAGTTGCAACGTTGACAGCTGTACCAGTATATACATGTCGGCACACGAAACACAATTGACGGACCTATTACTAACATATCCCAACTGTGTTGAGTTTATCAATGTAATGGATTCATAGTTAACATCCAAAGGAGCATACTAACAAATTTCTGGCCCTTTGCAAGCTTTACTTCACGTGAATTTTGACTGAAAATAATCACACTATCCGATGAGATGCGGCATTTTTAATTTTATGCCACAACATTTGATGCATGCCTTCATTTATAAGACTGAATATTCGTATTAAGCGTTAAAATTGCCTTAACATAATTTGAATTAAACATTTCGTAAACATATTTATAGATCTTACTACCTTTTTTATTGAAATACAGTGCGGTAAATGGAGATAAAGGTCTCTCAGCTAAGATACAACAAATCCCGTCAAGAGAACTCAGGAACACATTTTGCATTGCATCTTTTGAGGTTCACATTTGATTTTACTGATGATTTTCATCATCATCATCATCATCCTCATAGTTATCATCATCATCAAAAATAAACATTTGATAGGACAATATTCGCTGATTAGGTTATTGAAGAAAAAATATATGTTAAAACCAGGCTCATGATAAAATTTCAGTGGGAAATTTCGATTTTTTTTAGAAAGTAAATAATACAGACCAATTTATTATATATACATAGTTTCACATTCATTCATATAAAATGGAACAAATATAGACATATACTTTAACTTTCAAATTTGTATATTTATAACATCGGCCGCGTGGCCTAATGGATAAGGCGTCTGACTTCGAATCAGAAGATTGCGAGTTCGAGTCTCGTCGTGGTCGAAATATGTTAAATACTTTTACAATTCGATATTTTATTAGGCATTAACCTACATAAAGAATATACTTGTAGCAGTTATATATAAAAAGTTAAACAATTCACGATAGTATCATGATATACATTCTGTATTTTATTACATGGGTTTCAGTGAAATTACTTTGTAACAAATCCATACCATTTCTTACTTTTTTGTTTGGAAATAATTAATATGAAATATATCTTATTTGTCTATAGCAATGTACACTTCTCTGCCCACGCCTTTCTAACTTGATCTAGTGCAAAACAATGGGAATGTTTTCAAGTTTAATAGTTGTCATTTTGTTGAGACGCATAATGAAAGGAAAGCTGTGTTTACTTAGTATAAAATATATTTTCTGAAATCATTCATGATCAATCACAGAAATAAAACTGATTTGATAAAAGAAATGAATTTCAAACTAACTTAATTTGCATATTCGTTAATGTATAATTGAGAAAAGTTAATTTTATTTAAGAGTTAGATAAAGCTTCACCATACCATACACTACAATACAACGTCGGCTGACATTTAAAGCCGGTTAACCTATTGCATTCTGACTACATGTACAACAAATTCTTCTCATGCGACCGGAGCAGACATCCGTGCCGCGTGATCATGGTCTGCGCTTTTCGCTGTTAAAAAATGGTGCATGCCTAGACTAAAAGATGGACAAGTTCATATAAGATATTTAGCTTGGTAACGATTGTACAATATGAAATATGGAGATACAATGACAGTATACTAAGGCAACTAAATGGAGATGTTTATTATGAATATATAATAATAACGCCAAAGGAGAAATCTTCAGCTCCAGCTGAAACCTATCTAGTGGATGGATAAACAAGGTCTCTCTTCCAATAACTCATGTATTTGTCAACAATAAATGTTGGCAACCAATTGTGTGCATATGTCAAAAACTGAAATCAGAACAGAACAAATAAACATGATAATTTCAAGATACATACCATAAATGTAGATAGGTATAAAACAAAAGTTATAACAGTTAACAATCCTGGTATGTACTAAGGCTTTTATATTTTCTGACGTATAAAAAATCATATGATATTATATTCTACCAAAGAAGGAAATAAAAGAAAGAAAACGTTGAAGTCAATAAAATTTGGAATATATTCATCATTTCACGTTTCATACCATGTAGAATTTTTCAGTAGAATTGCGGCAATTATAAATATGTAATGTCTAAGCATAACATATTACGACAACGTATTCGAACAATGTCGTCACTTACCCATGAATCAAATGGAACTTTAGCCCATTTTCCCTGAACGAGATATCTATGTTTTGGTATTTCGCTAGAAAGCGCATGCGCAACAGCCTTCGCTACAGCTGTTGAATCTGCCTTAGGGGGCCAACCTCCTTTAGGTGGTTGAATCCATGAATCTATGCCTTTCTTCGTGTATGATTGTTTAACCTCACTTCTTGCTGATTCCCATATTTCATCTACTTCCAGTTGATTTCTTCTTATCTGATGAAATATGTTAAGGTTTTAAGATAAATTCAATTAACATGTTGGATTTTATAAAAATTGTCAACACAAAATCACTTTCTGCAGAATTATTCCGTCGGCGATCGGCGCCCTATATTTGTCGTGTCGTCGTGTCTTCGCCTCAAAATGCGAAAGGCGAAAACACTATAATTGGCCAATTTATCGTGTCCTCGACTTTCGGGGCGAACACATGACGACACGAAGACTCGGTAAACTGGCCAATTATCGTGTCTTCGTCCTTCGCATTTTGAGGCGAAGCAACGGCGAAATTACAAATATATGGCGCCGATACGAAGATTTATACCCGGCGACATGATATTTTTTACAGAAAAATACCTCATTAAAGTATTGTTATTTCGCTAAAAATATATCGTTCCTTCGTGTCAGCTCCCTCAAAAGTCGAGGACGAAGACACGATAAGTGAGCATGTTAACGTGTCTTTGCCCTCGACTTTTGAGGGGCGAGACCACGAAATATTATAGTAAATTACACTTATTTAATTTATGTATACATTGTTGTTTTAATTTTTGAACCTCTCTGTAAATAATTGTGTGTACTTTGTATGAAACATTATGTAAGCAATTTATTAAAAATAAGTATTGTGTAAACCAAAAGAAATAGATCAACCTAAAGATTTGATGACACCATGTGTGATAATCCAGTATTGAATGCTGTTAAATCTCATATACATGTATATTTTTAATCAAACAGCGACAAATTAAAGTCACTTTGCGCAGCAGTAACCATACTTTTCGGGAATTGCTACATATTTTGTTATCTGGAAATCAGATAACACCGTGATTTCAAGACTTCAACATACCTTCATGTTAAACGTTTGATATACATGTATAAACTTTTTAATGATAAAACATTATGATTTTTACGATGCTTACACATTTGTCATTTTCACTATCTGATATGAAGAAATTCGAAACATACAGACTGATTGTAAAATACTAATAAATGGTTTCATCACCGCTAAACATATGTCTTTACACAGTCTGTTGTCTGTCTTACGATGTCACTTAAGAACATAAGCTGTTGAAAATACTTAATTATTATTTTTATTATTATTATTATTATTATTTTGGTTGGGTTTAATGTCGCAACAAAACAGTAGAGGTAATATTGGGACTTTTCAGGGTTTTTTTGACGGAAGAAGACGTCTGGTTCCTCCGTGGATTATTTCAGCCACGAACGAGCTCCTGAATAGTACAGCAAGCCGGTCCTTAAGGTACTTGGGTAGCTTCCTCATATGAAGGAATCCAAATTCCCTTGCGGGATTCGAACCCACAGCGACCATTTTCAATCTTTGAATATTGACCCATTATATGAAAACGGTACTAGTATATAAAATATCAAACCGACACACACTCGATTAATGATGTAGGTTACATTGCCATTGGTTACATACCTGAGGCTCTGATCCGATCGCCGTTGCGTTACTGAAATCTCCAGGCTCTATGATAATAACCTTGACCCCAAATTTAACCATTTCTAGTCTCAGCGAGTCAGAGAGGGTCTCTATTCCATGTTTAGCTGTCTCGTAATTACCTTGACATGGTTCATACACTCGCCCCCGAACACTTGACATATTAATCACACGTCCTGGAATTAAACACAGTTGACAACCTAAATATACCTTATGTTGAAATGATTTAAAATATGCTGTTTGTTATTATTATTATTACATTTCGTTGATATAGAATTCATTTTTTACTGATTTAAAAAAAAATATTTCTTTTCAAATGTTGAATTCTGTTAAAGCTGATGAACAATGTCTTTACGGCAACATACTGTATAAACCAGAGTCTACGATATTTTCCATATTTACCATTCTAACAACCATTGTTTCCATTTTAAACTTTTCATTACGCTTGGTATTTCCTACTTACAAACATGCTTACATATTAAAAATGTTCTGTACGCGATTATATTATTCTAAGAAATTGCATAATAAATATATTTTTTGTATGTTCTACCTTTAGATTGTCTAATTAGAGGAAGGAATATTTTCATCACTCGTATATACCCATACAAGTTCAGTTCAAAGCACTTCTCGTAAAGTGACACGGGGGTCAGTTCAACATCTCCGAGCATGTCCATACCAGCATTGTTTACCACGCCCCACAGTCCTTAACAAGTTTCAAAAAAATGTGTAACAACTCATATTTCAATCAAGATATTAAAATGTCTTTTATATTTGTGATACAATTTTCATCTGTCACTTAAGATAATGAAATGTCAAAGTCATATCTATTCATAAGTGATAGTAATCAGAATAATTATGAAATACTTTTTATTTTTGATCTTCAGCATACTTTTACATTTCCATACCAAAATGAAAACAATACATTACTTGTATTATGTTATTGAACTTATAGACATAAAGCACACTATTTATTTAAATTAACGTGAGATATCTAAATGCCAAGATCTTTCCTGCTTTCATATATTATTAACCACGTATACCCATTAAGCCTAACAGACGCTCTCTTTATTTACAAAAAAAAAACATTTTTGGTGTTCCGTTACAGAAGTTTACTCAGTAGCTATATAGCTGAGTCATCTATTGTTTCTTTTGAGTTTTTGCAATTAGTACAGTTATAGTGATATTGTATAGATGCTGTGAGGAGTTATTACCTTCCCTGGCCGCCATTTTTGGGTGCCAAAAGTTTTATACATGTATAATTTATATAATCATAAAATTATTCTTCTAAAACAATTTCCAAACATCCAATGACATGTTTAATCTGTACAGCAAATGTTTATATACATTATAATTAAACGTTAAAATTAATGCACTCAATTTTCATTGAAAAAGCTGGTTTATTTAGACTTTATCGAAAATATATTTCTAATTACCTCCCTTATTTACATGAACGTTAAATTCAGTAATATCTTTACAAATAATGCTTTTCGAAACTTAAATATTAATAAATCTTCATTTGAGCATCAGATTTATGACATTAAACAAAAACAGAAAAAAAAACAAAAACAAAAAGGAATTGCGTTACAGGGTCTTTAAGATAAGATAAAAAATCGCCCATAATTCTATCATCTCCATTAAACTGTTAAAAATATTTTACATATTGGTGCAAAAATAAAATTTTGTTGACATTTCAGGTAAATCAGCTATTAAGAATGATTTTTTTTTCATATTTCATATATTGTCATAAAGAATGTTGACTCCTCAAAATGGCTGCCACTTTTGGCATGGGATGTAAATATTGTAAAAATCGCGAAGTATCTTATTTGTAAGGAACTCAAATTAGCAACATGTTTTTTTTAACATTTTTGCTTTCTTTTTACAAATGTTGCCGCTTTAGCAATATTTTCTTCAGGTTATAAGCACAAAGCACATATTCTAAAACGTCAATTACAACGTTGTAAAATATATGTTTGGCTAAAATGTGTCCATTACTAAAGCTTCATTTGCATTTGAACATTTTTTTAAGACCACGAAAACTGGCTTTTAACATAATGACGATTCGAACCTTTGTTGGGCAGGTGCTTCTGAACATAGGAAAATGCATCTTCAATACTTTCTTGCTTTGTAGCATTCACTTCAACAATGCGAAGCCGGGACGAACAATCGGTTTTCAAACTTTGGGCACCAGAACTGTTCTTGTTTAGACATCCAGCAAAAACAATGAACCCACAGCTATCTAAATACCGAGCACAACAGTTTCCTAGGCCTGTGCAAATAAAATCCCTAAAATGTTAATAATTACAATGAATTTTACATCCCATCCCGTCATATGCATTTTATCTGCATTAAAGATGTCGAAAGTCGGAAACAAATCAGCCCAAAGTCTTTATCAGTTATTCATTTAATGTATTGTCAACTTAATGCTAACTACTCATCCATTGCTTTATGTACTTGTCAACAAGATTTGTACATCTGATTCTTAAAAAACAAAAATTACCCGATTTTTTTCATATAAAACTATCCGAAAAGTAAAGCGCATCCATTCATTTCAATCAATTTCAGATCTTTTAAATTTATCAAAAGATATTTAATGTTGATTTCAATAGACTTTCTACACCACATTGGTTAGCAAATTCATAAATATGTAATATTTTCATATTCTTAGATAAACAATTAACACAAGTACAATTAACACTTAACAATCAGATATTTTTTTTAACAATCAGATATTTTTTTAAGTTAATGTTAAATTAAGTTGATAACAGATTTTCAACATTTTAACAAGTATTACCTGTGTCACAGCCGGTTATAAACACAGCACGCTTTTGTGGGTCTATATATCCGTACACAAACCTGTCCAGTAATGTAGTTATTGCTTTAAAAGCCAGAAAAACTACAAGACAAATGACGTAATATCTCCAAAGAACAAAGATTGAAAGACATAGTGCTGTTATAAACGCTGCTTTATAAATGAAATAACTAAATATTGCATTGTCTTTGTAAGACATTGTTTAATGTTCAAATAAGCTAAATTTTGAATACACAAAGATTAAAATAAAACGTGCCCTATCTAAGCCTATGTCACAGGCACTAAATATTTGGTTCATGGTTTGTGTTAAGTTCAAGGTTTACAAGGTTAATCAACCTGTACAGTTCTTTTAGATAACAAAATTGTGCTTCAAAGTTAGGTAAAACTTACGCTTCAAAATAAAAATATGTACGGAGGTCAAAATAAAGTTAAACCTGTTGTAATAAAGTGACACCATTAACCTATCCGAGAGTAAATGGTAAAAATCAAACTAACTTTACTTTTGCCATTATTATTATTTTTTGTTATTGTTTATCTTGTTAATTTTATAGGACAAAGTAATCAAGTCAAGTCAAATATTTCATGCAAAAACATATACAACTTTTTGGCGGTATAATACAAAGTGCAGACAAGTATAATAATACACGTACATTATAAATTTTACATATACATACTTTACATTTAGTTTACAATTTTTCAAACGAAGATTCCATTCTTAGTTGCATCGCTAAATATTCAAATTTTCCTAAGTTTACAATTACATTTATATTTTGACACGCAAGACATTTTTACAATACGATATTTGTTTGTGGGTCAAAAAGGCTATAACAAAAGGTTACGATTTAACAGTATTCAACAACATCATTAACAATTTGATATACATGTAATCTAAATGATAAACCATTTGTTTAGAATAGGTTATTTTGAGAAATAATCGATGCAATGGCGAATTGAAGTAATAAACTTGAACATATTGAGACCCCGAATGATTCATTCGAACTTAACCATCTCTTGTAATAAAGGGTGCTGAAATGGATCACTTGGATGTATCTTCCTTTAAAGTTACTTCGTCAAGAGATGTACGAAGAAAGAGGTAAATACGTAAAGCATGATTTGATATTTCTAGCAGATAACAATTAAATGATCCAAACGCGTATATTTAAAATAGCATTAGATGACTATTAGTTTATACAAATAGAACGATTGTGCTGGAAGCTGTAAGCTTATTGAAGCACTCCCGAATCCGTTCCTGGAACCAACCAGTACTAAGCAATGAATGTAAAGTTTCTTGCTCAAGGAAACAACGGCTTACCCCTGACAGGGATTCAAGCCACGCGGTCAGCAATCCTTAAAATACTAGTTCGACGCGTTAAGCACTCAGCCACGCCGCCACTCTAAGTCAGAATGTGACTCTTCCCCAGTAATTCACATTGAAACAGCAGGGTGCTAATACTTATTTAATATAACACAATCGGTACTGTATACTTCCATTGATTATGTGGATTAGCAAAGATGGTGTCACTAGTTTACAATATCATTCAACCGGGACGTTTTAGTACACTGACATACCGGGTGTTACATACCGGTTGTTAGTAACGTAAAATTATGATACTCGTAATTAACATAAACCTATAGTATACATGTATATAAGTCATCAATGCATAAGACCCGTTACCAAATCTAACCAACATAAAAATAAAAATTCACACACACACACACACACACGTGTGATATCGCTTTACTATATAAAAGGCGGCTATTAAAATATTTGATGCCGCACAGCACTATCCAAATCATTTCTAAAGAAAAATACAAAACTTTAAAATATATACATTTAAATTTCTTCAAAACAAAATTATATCCTAAAAGTAAATAAACGGATGGATTGACAGATACAATCAAATGCAACACGAGTGTGTTTTGTTCCATGTAAAACAGTTCCGCTATAGAATTACCTTTGCTATTGACAGATGAAACGTGTTTATGCATGATTTAATTTTAGCCTGGTTCCACGGTAAACAACAGTCCATTATTTGTTTACGGAGATAAGAAAACATTGCCTTTCCATTTCAGGAAAATGTAAATAAAAATGTTTTGCAACAAAGCAAGAAATCTTAAATTGGTCCTGGAGTGTAAAGCTGATGAATGTGAATGATTTAATATACATTTGTTTTTATTGACGACTCGCAAAGTAAATAGTGTCATTCCGCAGTTAATCATGCGACTCTTTCAAATTTCTAAAGGACTCGGCTACTTGGCAGCCGAATTATTTAAATTTTGTAGAGAATATTGAATGAGTGTAAGTTTAATACTGAATTTACTGAACGAGTTAGATAATTTTATTTTATTTTCAAGAAGTTCAATAACTTCAGTAATGAACTTTCACTAATTTAATATCCTTTTTATCAAATACCAAAAAATAAAGACCAAAAGCACCATTTTTTATTGACGCGCCTAAAGTATAACACTAACAATTTACGCGCCGGTACACTATGTTTGTATAACGCAAATGACGTCACGCTAAAAATATGCACGGCCATGCAATACCATTTTTACGGTGTCGCAAGAGCGGCACGGGAATGTGATAAATTCCTATATCATTATTGATTACATTATAATGTATACAATTAAGGTAAATTAAATTGACACAATACAAATACTACATCTGGTCGATTTTTTCATAGCAACGGACCGCTTAGCAAAAGAGTGTATATGAAATGAATTATATAAATTATATCCCTATATCATTATTGATTACGTTATAATGTACGAGTATATGTATACAATTAAGCTTAACCAAACGCACACGAGTGTTGTAAATAAAAATTATAAAGTTTATTTGGCCTTAAAGCTTATTAATAAAAATATGTATAGACTTAATTTCAACTCATTGAATAGTATAGAGGGAATGTGAAAAGAATATGTTAACACACTGTGCAGCTGATTTAAAGATATGATAATCTGCATATATTAAGTTTATAAGTGCATGAATGTCGGTGTATTTAGGTTTACGCACCTATATCAAATAAGCACTCTACAATCCGACCGCTGGATGCTAAAGAATTAAACTAGAATCCCCTGAATATTTATATAGAGAGTAGAGATCTCCATATAGAAAGAGATAAACTACGAAACTACTGCTAAATATTGTTCACTATACATATATTCATGCTGTCTGTTAACTGCTGTACGTTATACAAAACACTAAAAAAGACATCTCATAGAATGTAATAAGACCACACATATGTTACAAATATTCAAAATATTCGCTGTACCTGCAGTTTCCAAACCGAACAATAAAATTAAAACATTTACAGATAATGCCAGTGTTTACCGACATAATTATTGTCCAATTGATCGAATAATCTTGTTTACAAATCTAATAAAGAAAAATTTCATTTTAATTGTTTATTCCTCAGAACCGGATTTTAGCAAGGTCGTCAGTAAGATTTTTTCAACACAGTCCAAAACATTAGCTACAGCGCCGAGCTTCGAACTAATTTCTTTTTCCACCAAGACATATATGCGTTGACAATCCACGTTGGTAGCATATTATGTACAAGTGACAATGCCTGAAAAAAGCACAATAAAGTATTTGACTAAGTATATTTGTAAAATTCTTTATCAAAATCTAATTTCATTTTCATACTAAAATTCTTGATTCTTGATTTCTATGTTGGATTGATAATTTTCAACATCGCTAGTTTAATCATGTACATTATAAATAAAATTTACACAGTGCATTGAAAAACGGTGAGTTAAAGTAAGATATATTTTGCGAATATTGAAACATTTCATAAAGGTGATTTGTTTTCATTAATAAGTAATTCAAACAACTAGTGCGTATATCATATTTCAAAAGGATAAACATTTTCTATTCAAAAATATAAAAGAAAAGTTGAAATATGGAGATAAATTTTGATATACTTACAACAAATTCGTCCACGAAAGGTACTATTGATCCCTTCCCCTGAATGAGATATCTATGTTTTGGGTAAGCACTGCAAAGCGCATGCGCAACCTTTTTCGCAACAGCGGTTGAATCAGCTTTTGGTGGCCATCCTCCTACTGGAGGGTTTATCCAGGATTGCAGGAACTCCTTTGAATACGATTGTTTAACTTCATCCCTTGCAGATTCCCACATCTCGTCGACTTCTTGGTTATTTCGCTTTATCTTGTAAAATATAATCAGGGTGTTGTGTCAACTAATAAAATTAAGTTAAGTATTTTTTAATCATTAAAAGTAGATCTACACGTGTACTAAATCAATTAGGATGAAATACAAATAAAAGGTACATTTGTCGCTACTATATAATCGACAAAAACGTATATATATTTTATATAAGTGTTGTCTCTCAGGCGAAAGTAGTCCAAGACAATTAATCTCCTAAATTGAGTAAAATGACCATTTGTCTCTTTCACCACTGATTTAGTAATCATTTGGGATAATCATACGGTCACTTGTTGAAAACAATTGTAATTACAGGTTAGTTATCCAGTTCAGTGAACCGACCGCCGAGATGTGACAAAAAACGTGTACAAACTACCAAAAGTTCTTCAAGAAAATTCATGACATACCACTGCTTTAGATCCTATCGCTGTGGCGTTCCCAAAGTTGCCTGGTTCAATTATACTGACTTTAACTCCAAACTTGATCATTTCCAGTCGTAGTGAGTCAGATAATGTCTCTATTGCATGTTTAGCAGTGCTGTAATTTGACTGGTTTGGCTCAACAATTCTTCCTCTAACGCTTGACACATTAATGACTCGTCCTTAAATTACAAGTGCTATAAACAGTCTTTGTTTTTTTTAAATATTTTGTTTTGTTTTGCTCCTGTTTTGAAGCGTCATTTATTAGATAAATCACATGTATCTAAATTAAATTCAAAACAAGAGGGCCATGATGGCCCCGGATCGCTCACCTGACCCATCGAACTCATCCGACCAATTACCTAGACAAGCATTCTGACCAAGTTTCGTGATAGGTGAGTCAAAATGTGACCACTAGAGTGTTAACAAGGATTTTCCATATTTGAACAGTGTGACCTAGTTTTTTACCCAGGTGACCCATATTCGAACTTGACCTAGAAATCATCAAAACAAACTTTCAGACCAATTTCCAGGATACTTGGATCAAAACAGTAGCCACTAGAGTGTTAACAAGATTTTATTACTTTTAGCTTCGGAAAACTAGTTTTTTTTATGCGAGATGACCCATGTTCGAATTCATTTGAGCAATTACCTAGACAAGCATCCTGACCAAGTTTGATGATAATTGAGTCAAAAATGTGACAAACAGAATGTTTTACCATATTTGGGCGGTTTAACCTAGATTTTCATTCGAGATGACCCATGTTCGAACTTGACCTAGAAATAATCAAAACAACTTTTAAGACCAATTTACAGGATATTTGGACCAAAGCAGTAGCCACTAGAGTGTTCATAAGATTTTTCCTTTTTTAGCTCCGGTGACCTTGCTTTTCATACAAGATGACCCATGTTCGAACTCATCCGAGCAATGACTTAAACAAGCATCCTGACCAAGTTTGATTACAATTGAGTCACAAATGTGACCACTAGAGTGTTAACAAGGTTTTTCCATATTTGGGTAGTGTGACCTAGTTTTTGACCCCAGGTGACCCATATTCAAACTTGACCTAGAAATCATCAAAACAAACTTTCAGACCAATTAACAGGATATTTGGATCAAAACAGTAGCCACTAGAGTGTTAATAAGATTTTTATATATTTTTAGCTCCTGTGACCTAGTTTTTCATTCGAGATGGCCCATGTTCAAACTCATTTGAGCTATCACCTAGACAAGCATCCTGACCAAGTTTGGTGATGATTAAGTAAACAATGTAATCGCTAGAATAATAACAATGTTTTTCTATTTTTAGCTCCTGTGACCTTGTTTTTCATCCGATATGACCTATACTCAGAATTATCCGAGCTATCACCTAGAAAAGCATCCGGACCAAGTTTGATGATGATTGAGGCAAAAATGTAACCGCGAGAGTGTTAACAAGGTTTTTCTATTTTTAGCTCCAGTGACCTAGTTTTTCATCGGAGATGACCCATGTTCGAAGTCATTCGAGCTATCAATTAGATAAGCATCCTGAGTGGGTTTGATGATGATTGAGGCAAAAATGTGACTGCTAGAGTGTAAACGAACAAGTGTGGACGGACGACGGACATTCAACGATCCTAAGAGCTCACCCTGAGCTAGCTCAGGTGAGCTAAAAATGCATTTTAAATCACTACAATGTTTTCTTAATTCTCATAAATGATTTTAACCCATGTATTACCCCATGCATATGATTGGCATTGTATATTCAATTTGTAGATGACCACTGTTAGAATATTTAACCGCATTGCCATGCACTTTCACAAAGGACGTGTCAGTTTGTTCAACTGTGTTCATGCTAAGCTACACCACCCTATCACCGGCTTAAGCAGAATGACATATACGTATGAAATGGTCTTAAATTTAGAATTTATAGGTCTACATTCAAGTTTTAAGAAAATTAAGAAAATTATTTAAATTTTATGATTAGAATGATTAATAGACTATAGAAATTGTTGTAAACAACGGAGGACAGATAAAGCAAAGTCATAGAAGCTCATTCAGTTGTCAATGAGATGTAAAGTAAATTAACTCCTTTTTTTGAATTCCTTTAATTTAATAAAGTGCTCACCTTTGACCTGTCGTATCAGCGGTAAAAATGTTTTCACCACTCGAATATATCCGTACATATTGAGTTCAAATCCCTTTTCATACAACGCGACTGGAGTGAGCTCTACATCTCCGAGCATGTCCATTCCGGCGTTATTAATCACTCCCCATAAGCCTTAAATTAGAAACAAACAAAAATACAAATTTCATGAACTGTATAATAGATCTATATAAAAATGTAAATGTTGAGATAGATAATTTAGTCAAACCTGTATTTAAATACCAGAGATAGATATTTTAGCCAAACCTGTATTAAAGACCAGAGATAGATATTTTAGTCAAACCTGTATTAAAGACCACATCTGAATAAATATTATTTGAGCCGCGCCATGACAAAACCAACAAAATGGGTTTGCGACCAGCATGGATCCAAACCAGTCTGCGCATCCGCGCAGTCTGATCAGGATCCATGCTATTCGCTATCAGTTTCTCTACTTGTTAAAGGGTTTGTAAGCGAACAGCATGGATCCTGATCAGACTGCGCTGGTCTGGATCCATGCTGGTCGCAAACATATTATGTTGGTTTTGTCGTGACGCGGCTCATTTTATTATTAAAATTGCTCCAATCATTGTACTTCAAAATTTGTATAAAATATGTCGATTTATTTTGGCAATATGGCATTTCTCTCTCTGACCTTTGATTGGAAGATGATTTTTTACGAACTGGAAAGCTGTAGCAATACTGTCTTCTTTCGTTGTATTTACTTCTACAACTTGTAATCTAGATGAACATTCCGTAATCAAACTCTTGGCTCCTGCACTATTTTTGTTCAAACACCCAGCAAAAATCGTAAACCCTTTGTCGTCAAGATACCTTGCAAAACGATTTCCAAGACCTGTGCAAAATATGTCAAAAAACAGTTTACAATAGAACCAGTTTTGCAATAGTACATAAATGTTAACATATAATAGGTTTCAACATAATACATCATCAGTAAATTAAATGTTGCTAATTAAATTAACGATGCTATTACGGTAATTGGTGTCTGTAGATTAAAATTTGCTAATAATGTTTTTAAGGTATCATGAGTAAAGTGATAAAATGTACAAAGGAGTATGACATTTGCATGTTTTTGCCATATGAGAAGATAATTCTCCTTTTGCATTTTTTTTCTTAATGTAGAGGACAAAAAAATAAGTCTTAAAAATCGACAAAAAATACCCAAAAATTACTGGTATTTGTTTCTCCATTTATATCCATAATTTGATGATATTCATTATTGCTAGAGTTTAAGTGGCATATTTTATAAAAGAAAAGAAATCAGAACAAAATACGTTTTATGCGCTTATGCACAAATTTGTTATACATGACGTAAGAAAAACAAAGCAAATCATGTCAGAGAAGAAAAAAAAAGAAAAAGCCTGGCAATAAATATCTCGCATGGGCAATTTTGCGAACAGAGCAAAACGCAAAATCGATCAAATATGTCAGTACATGATATTTAAGTCATTCAGACATTGGATACCCCTTTATTTATCAACCTCTAGCCT